CCCCCCCCCACTCACTCATTCTCTCTCTTTTCATGAAACCAAATTCATGAAGTAATGGTCCCTTTAATCTCAGATGTCTGCTCAAATTTATGTAGCCTCTGTGCTGCTCCCATGCTCTGAAAGTGAATATGATCAATGCCTATGGTGGCTTGTGAAAGAATTACCTGGAAATGTGGTTTTTCATCTTTATATCTCTGTGCAGACTTCTCATGCATCTTTTCCTAATATTTTCATGAAACCAAATTCATGAAGTAATGGTCCCTTTAATCTCAGATGTCTGCTCAAATTTATGTAGCCTCTGTGCTGCTCCCATGCTCTGAAAGTGAATATGATCAATGCCTATGGTGGCTTGTGAAAGAATTACCTGGAAATGTGGTTTTTCATCTTTATATCTCTGTGCAGACTTCTCATGCATCTTTTCCTAATATTTCTGGTTTTATTAAACATATGGCCTGTGGGCCAGATTTGGCCCATGCAATGGACCAAAAGATTTTTCACCTTCCTTTTGAAGTATTTAATGGCTAACTTTGTCAGAATACTAGACTAGTTGGACTTCACTAATCTAACTTGATATTGCGTTTCGTGTGTTAGAAACTGTTGGCTTTCTAGGATTTTTTGTGTTAGCAGCTAGAGAAAATGGTGGAAATGGCTGAAGGTCACTGCAGAAAGACATACTATATAATATGAAAAACTTAAAAAACAACAAATAGTTTTTAAAGTGCTACCAGACTAACAAAACACATATGACCGGAGTGTTGGATGTCCAGAACTAAAAAATAAATAAAGGGGCGGAGGGAATATCTAACTTTAAAAAAAAAAAAGAGAGAAATAGAATCTGTTGTTTGTGCGGGCATCAGAAGACAAGTAGACCAGAAGATCATAATTGCAAAGCCCTAGGGTTTGCTGGAAAGCATTTTACAGTATTGTGAATTTTTTTGTAGGGGTCCCTGGGAAGAGAGAGGATTGAGGGAAAGAACTCACCTATAGAATTGGAGACGCACAAGTGTCTTTTACTGTGCATAGAGGGGAGAGCAACAAAATCAAAGCAGAGGAAAATGAAAGAGTGGATTAAAAATCTGCTGATGCCTAGTGGACACTTTTCTTACCCATTGTTTTTGGAAATTTTTAACATTGTGGAGGTTTTCCTTATTTATTCTTTATTACCACAAGTATTTGCATAAAGAAAGAATGAATCTTTGTTTAATCATCTGCTTCTGACAGTGGGGTGTTTGTGACTCAAAACCTCTGGATTTCCTTTATATGTAAATAAGGATTAGGGAAATTACTAGGGTCTGAGGCTGTTACTTACCCATGCTTGTAAATCTTAATTAACACAAATTAATTTCTAGATGCTTTTTAAGGATTTAAACCACAAAACTTTATATAATGAAACTGAGGTGCCTAATATCTATTGAATAAAGTGTTTCCCAATAATATTACATTTTTCTGACACTATCTTCAGTACCTATAAAGATTCTGTCCTGTGAAATTGAAATGCAGTTTCACTCCATTACTTCCAATATATTCAACAGCTTTCCTTTACAAACAAAACATCTGGAAAATACAAGAATTTATAGGAAAAAATAATTTCCAAAAAAGGATTAGAATGAACTGTAATTTTATGAAGATGAATCTGAAGGTTTGTCAGTCAGAATATTTTATGGGAGCCTTCTGTTCTGCTCAATTTTAGGATCCCTATCACATTTTCACTTTTTTGTGTGTGTAGGGTTTGACTGTCTTTGCTATTTAAATCAACACACAGTTTCTTTGCTGGGAAAGGTTAGCTGTAGTTTTCCGGGGGCGGGGAAAGAGGGCAGGGCAGAAAGGAGGTCTTAGTGGAATGTGTACTTTGCTCACCTTGCCTCTCAGCATATGAGGGAATTCAACCTTCTTTACCCCTCAAACACCAAATAACTGCAAATTGGTGCTCTGGGAAAGATTTAATGTAAGTATGAAGCCCAGAGTCATGATGAGTATGTATGTTCTTGTTTGGTAACTTTGTTTTATAATGTTGAGAACAGAGAATTTTACTGAGCATGTTTAGACAGGTTTTTTTCTTTTGCCATTGTCAGTCCTCTGCCAGGTTCTCTACCTCGGCTCCCTTGCCTATTAGCTGTCTGCTAATTTGCAGGGTAGATTAAGAGACATAGTTGTGGAGAGATGTTGCATAAAGTTAAATGAGAACGCCAGTACTTAGATTTTTATAATTCTAAAATAAAAAGATATGGCTTTCTAGTTGAATTTTTTTTAATAAATGCTTTACAAAAGTATCAGCCTGAAAGCTTAAACAAACAAAAATCTCCAAACCCAACTATGCAATAATTGCTTTCCCTTCTCTAATAAAGCCTTGCTGTATTACTTTGTGCAGACTAATAAATCCTTTTGAATTGCAAATCTTACTACTGCAAACTGAGTTTTATATTACAGAAATCTCCTTTTCGGTTTTCCCTTTCTTATATCTTGATTTTGATTCTTTCCTTTAGATCTTGGCTTGCATGACATTTTATCTTTCTTTTCCTTTCTTTTTGCTGTTTGCAAAGACTCTTGGGAGGATTTGACAGATTTGGTGGAGCAATTGCGGGATGATACTGAAGGTGCGTGCCACACCAACGTCTTTCAGCTATTATTTCTGTTTTTAATTGGCTTTTTAATGTGTTACTTTGATTCTGAGCACCAGCTACAGTATTCCTTTGCAATGGCAATAACTGTGGCTCTGCAAATATACTTGTCTGATTGAACTGGGTTCATAGTTTGAATATACTGAACTAGTTGCTTTCTGGTATTGATTTGTGGTTACTACTGTTAGGGTTCTAAAGAAAATATTTTCAGTCACAATAAGTATATGTGCATGTGGGTTTTTTTTAATTTAGATTATTACACTTTGAAAAGATAATGTGTAGGCTTTTGGTTCCAGATTTGCTCCTACTTGACACTGGTCCCGTATGGACAGTCTTGCCTTCTAAATTCTTTAATTTTTTAAAAAACAACGAGCAAGAAAAAAGCAGTTGATATTGCTTAGAGATAAATTCTGTCATACCTCTCAAGCAGCTAAGACTCCTGTATGTAATGACTTAAAATGAAAATGAGACAAATAATGGAAACTGTAAAAAATGTGGGACTAACTTGTTCTTTATCTTGATGAATACATGTCTTATCGTCTCCTCTTTTCCTCCCTTTCTTATATCGTGTCTAGCATGGCTACAGCAGCACTGCATAGAATATAGTTACGTAAATTTACAGGGCATAGCAATATAAAAGCAATTTAAAAATCAATTGATTTTAATTAATTTAATCAGTTGTGGATTAAAATAGGTTGAGGCTGTGTGGAACTTACTTAAACTTGTGCTAGTATAACTTTATTGTTACACATTTTAATGTTTTAAAAAATACTTAATGGTAGGATATTCGGATATTATAAAACAGCTATAGGTAAAAACCAAAATACTAAGGCCCTGATCCCACAAACACTTTAAGCAGGTGAGTAACATTACTCACATGAATAATGGGACAACTCATGCTTAAAGTTAGTCTTTACATAATGTTTTCAATGTACAAGGATTAAATTTTATTTCCATAAATATTTTGAAGCTTTTAGTTAGGCTCTTACGCCTAAATTTAGGCATTGAAGATTGGGAATTTTAAATGCACTTAAATGATGTAAGAACTTAGATCCTTTATTTTCAAATTTCAGACCATTATAGTCAAGTATAGCCTCGTTGAAACATTTCAGCTTTTTTGACTTGCAGAAGCTCAGTTAATTATGGGAAGGTAATGTTGATTGTAAATATAGCACAGGCTAATTGCTTATCAATGCTGTGTTTTGAGTTTGTGACACTTCTCATAGTAAGGATGTTAATGAGGCCTTGAATTTGTCAATTTCACAATTTATATGTTCATGTATGCTTTAAAAAGACAATCTTGAAATTCTACTAACAATTATGAAGCTAATTAAAGAAACATCTCGTTGAGCAATTTAAGATTATAAAATGGAACGAAAGTAAAGAACTCTTTATAAGAAAATAATATGTTACTTAAATAAGAAATGGATTTTTATAAACTGCCAAGATTTTTATCTTCTCTGGTGATATATAGTAGTGAAGGGCAAGACACCAAGTCAAGCTTGATGAGAGATGGCTATAGATATACCTCCAGTGAAAAGGGCCTCTTAAGTGTGTAACAGTGGGTTTTACTATTTTGGTTTGGTTTAGGAAGATATTTTATTACTGTAAATAACCCAAAATATCAATGAAGACATTAGTTACATTGACTGGACATGTATGGGTACATCTCTTAATACAGAATTAACAGTATTAAGCAACATATATTGAGCACTGTTATATTATTGTTTCCCTTTTTAAACAGGATTATATAAACACAAACTCAACATGCATGCGCATATATGTATATTTTATACCAGTGGTTCTCAGCCAGGGGTTTGTGTATCCCTGGGGTACTTAAAGTCTTCCCGGAGTACATCAACTCATCTAGATATTTGCTTAGTTTTATAACAAGCTTCATAAAAGGCATTAGGAAAGACAGCACAAATGAAAATTTCAGAGACAGGGTCTTGCTTGTACTGGTTTTTATAACGCACATGATGAAATGTAAGTACAATATTTATAATTCCAGTTTATTTTTTTATAGTTGTATGGTAACAATGCAAATGTAAGCAATTTTTCAATAATAGTGTGGTGTGACACTGTATTTTTATGTTGATTTTGTAAGGGAAGTTGTTTTTAAATGAGGTGCAGCTTGGGTTACCCAAGACTAGAGTGTATTTGTGTAAACAAGTAATCTCTGTGTTTTTTGGTGGTCACTTGTTTACATGCAGGGGAGAAGGCAGGAGCCAGTGCTCCCCACGAGCACCAGCTCCCACCTGTTTCCTTTTCCCCCTCCAGCCCTGCGCCTGCTGCTGCTTTTGCATGGGAAAAGTATCACTTTGTAGCTTTACAGTTACTTAGATATTAAAAGTATTTCAAGGAAAGTATAATCATGGTCAACTGCAAAGGAAAAACATTAAGCTTTTCTGTTTTTTCATCGTGATGTAAAAAAGACATCCTATAGTTTTGGGGGTTTCTTTTTGCTTATTTTTTCCTTGAGATGTGTTAGATTGTCTCTTCTCCCCACTGCTCCTCCTCCTCCTCCTGTTTTTGGGAGGAAAGACTCTTGGATGACTCATACAGGGAGCTTTCCCAGGCCTTAATTGAAGAGGTAAGGTAAATCCTTAAAGAATGTGGTTTTTTTTCCCCCTCAGTTGTCCAAGTTAAATAGATGTTAACGAAAAGAAATTTTAAAAATCCTTTTTTTAAAGTAAAATAAAAATTACTTTCCCTCTAAACAAAGGTTTCCTTTCTTTAATATCTATGCTGTTATCCTGCCAGTTTTCTAGTTCCCCTAGTTTTCCAGAATAGACAAGACCAAAAAGCAAGGAGGAAGAAAAAACTTCTTGCAAAAATATACTCATGCTTTTACATTTTAAAGAAACACGTCACAAGCCTTTTTGCCCCTTCTCTTCCCCCCTTTTTTTTCTGGTCACCTATAAGAACTTTTTTGTGTGTGTGGTGCTCTGAGCATTTATTTCCACTTGTATTCCTTTTCTTTAAAATGGCAGCCTGTGAACTGTAGCACTTGATGAAAGATGAGAAACTGAGAACCTTTCTACACAAGAAGCATCAAAAAAGTTAAATAATTAACTGAAGTTGTGAAGAGAATTCTCTAATTCACAAGTGGCTATAGTTCAGTTTACTTCAGTCTTTCTTCAGTGAATTTAAGGCCACTTTACTTATGACTATGAGTGTCGACATGGGTTTAATGTACTTTAACTTCACAACTTCAGGGTACATCAACACTGGCAAGTTTTTGTGCCAAAATGTTACCACTTCTGTTCAAGCGCTTTAATTAAAAGTGCTGTTGTGTGTCCACACTCGCTCCTTGTGTTGCTGGAGCACATCCACACTAGCAGCTCTTTCAAGGACCAAGAGAGCAGTACACTGTGGTAGCCATGCTGCTGTGAAACTGGCTGCACGGTGCTTTGGGAATGGCTTGCAATGCCTCTTGAGGCAGGTGAAGTGTCGCATGATGCAGGTTTCTCAGTCTCGGTACCAGCTGCTTTTCAAGTGAAGTGTGAGGGGGAGTGTGACAGACAATGAGGTGCATGGGGAGACCATGTGTGTAGGGGGAGAACAAGTGTATTGGCATGCTGTCCTATAAATTCCGACAGCTGCAGGAAGCAACTGGCCCCAAGACTGGGAGGGGGAGACCCCGCTCTCAGCCCATGCCTCCCTCTCTGGCTCTGCACTGCCCAGTCTCTCTCCTTCTCTCTCTCACTCACACACATGCACCTTTGTCTGCCTGTGCTCCTACTGTGGGAGACAGTAAGCACATTCTACATCAGTGCTACTCAACACATGCCTGCAGCATGTTTGTTTGGGGCCCGCGGTGTCGTTTGGATTTATGCGAGGCTCAACATGCGGCCTACAGGTGGGATCCTCCACAATGGTGATGCGTCTTCAGGTGGGGTGAGCACTGAAAGACACAAGCGGATGGGCTGGCTGGAACAGATGGATGCAGGGTATCCGTGTTTCTAGCCCCCAAGGAGGAGGTGCCAATAGTGCCGGGGCATTGTGTGAAAGAAGCTATTTGCTTATATATTTGTATGTATATGCATCTACACTTAAGTTGTGGCCCTTGGCATGTGCTATGAGTATCATTATGGCTCCTGGGACTTACCAAGTTGAGTAGCCCTGTTCTACATTATTGGTTAGCGTAGTGTCCTGGAGCAGAACAGCACAGAGCTTTGAAAGGGGTGGGGTGCATGCTGCAGGGCTGCTGAGCTCGAAACAGGGAGTATAGAGGACACTCCAGCCATTGTGGGACACCTCTGGAGGGCCATTGTAGCAATAAAAGCAATCAAGGGGCATTCACACTGGCCCCACCACATTTTAAAGCCTCAGTGCAACAAGCTTATGACGCTGGGGATGGTTTTATTACAGTGCTGCAGCTGAGGTGTTTCGATGCAAAAAGTGGCATGTTAGTGTGGCTGCTTCTTTTGGTTTATCGCAAGAAGCTGATGCTTGGCAAAAAAAAAAAAAAAAAAAAGTGTGTAGACCGTGCCTCAGTCAACTGATCTTAACTTTGAGTTGGATTGTCTACATGGGGTTCTGAGACGCATTGGATTTTATAACTTTTTGATAACTCTGTTAATACAGCTGTTGTTTTCTTACATTTTCCATTCCATTTCATAATAATTTTTGGGATTGTCAGAACAGCCTTAATTACTCAAGATTCTCTGTAACTCAGAATTTTCATGTCCCCAAAGTGTCCCTTTCCTACATTGAAAAATTCCTTTGTCCAAACTTATCTAATGCTCTTCCTTACTTCTGAGAAAATGAGGTTGATTTTCTATTAGGAAATTACAGTGCATATTCTAAATTATTTTAGTGCATTTTGAACAAGCCATTGATCAGTGTTGTAGAATGTACATTAAGTGGCAGAAACTGTATTTGGAGGCAGATACAGGATCTTAATCTGCAAGAAGCTGGGCACATGGAGTGAAGTCTCTCTTTTGAAGAACTCGTGTGTTCCTCAAGTTTAC